ATGCTAATTCCAATCCCCCCCCCCTCTCTCTCTTACGGAATGGCATTTTTATTGCCAGATGCAGCAACTTAAAAGCAATTGTGCTAAACAATTATGTGTGCTACAAAGCAATGTATTACAGTTAGGAATCAATTATTTTCTAATGAGGCATTCCATTATTATATTGATATATTTGGTTTTCTATGGGTCTCAGGTTAATCCTGAAACAGATTCTTTGTGAATAAATATTTCTCATAATTAAAGAGTGTTAACTGAAGCCAAGACGTTTCATTAAATCCTTTTCAGATCAAGGAGCCTCCCAGAGTACTGGGTTAATTGAACTTAATAAGATTTGTCCACTTGTGCATTTTGGCATGGCAGAAACTGTTTTAGTGGCAGCCAGATAGCAGCTAGAAGCTCTTTTCTTCTTCCCCATTCTCTCATGAGTTTAAATGCCTGTCACTTTCAGAGTTTTTTCAGGCTGCATTCTGATCAGCCACTTCATATCATAAAGGCTATCAGGTCCTATGCCTTATGCCATATGCCTGAATCAAGGGATTCAGGAAGTAACAACAATGACTGCATGATGGAGCTAATGTAATATTATGCCATATGTTCTGCCAGCTAACCTTCACCAACCTCTTGCTCCCACTGCTGACCAGGCAGCCTGGCTGGGTTTTGTGGTGAAAGCAACCTCAGAGCCTCAGTGTGTCAAAAAAAAAAAAAATCCTTTTGTGCCATGCTGCTGGTCTGGTCTGGTCTAATGCTCTGTAAAAGTTCCAAATACCAACAAGGACAGGATCCATGGCAGCTCCTGCCCTCTGGAACAATATTGCCCCTGAAGTTCAGCAGGCTTTTAGCCTCCTAGCTTTCCATAAAACATTGAAGACCTGGAATAAGATGAGATGATTGCACCTGGAACAGATTTTTGTCTTTAATGTGTTTGGTTTTTATAGCTTTAATATAGTTTTTATGTTGTTTTAATTTTTGATTAGGAGCTGTCCAGAGTTTGTTGTAAGATGGGCAATGTTTGGAATGAACTGAATGAATTGAATGAATGAGAAAGAAAGGAAAGAAAAAGAAAGAAAGAAAAGAAAGAAAGAAAGAAAGAAAGAAAGAAAGAAAGAAAGAAAGAAAGAAAGAAAGAAAGAAA